ATCCATCCATCATCCATCCATCATCCATCCATCCAGCATCCAACCATCCATCCATCCATCCATCCATCATCAATCCATCCATCCATCCATCCATCATCAATCCATCCATCCATCAATCCATCCATCCATCCATCCATCCATCCATCATCAATCCATCCATCCATCCATCCATCATCCATCCATCCATCCATCATCCATCCATCATCCATCCATTCATTCATCTATCCATCCATCCATCCATTCATTCATTTATCCATTCATTTATTTATCCATCCATCCATCATCCATCCATCCATCCATCATCCATCCATCCATCCATCCATCATCCATCCATTCATCCATCCATCCATCATCCATCCATCATCCATCCATCATCCATCCATCATTCATCCATCCATCCATCAATCATCCATCCATCAATCATCCATCCATCCATCCATCCATCCATATATTGGTTGAACTTGGCCAATCTAGCTTTACACATTACAAATGTTGTGCACTTCAAAAAGAGATTTCTAAAAGAAAAGAGAGCCTCTCTGCTCACATTGTCGCACACAATGAGTTTTATGACCACAGATGATTTTTACATTCAGTATTTGCTGCATCACTGTAACATCTCTCTGAGGGTCTGTATGTTAGACTCGGCTTATTGGTCATTATTGTTTTTCTTTTGATTCTAAAAATACTTGGTTGAAAGTATAAAAAAACTCTTCACCACCAGAGTTTCTCTTTGAAAACTTTGTTCTAAATTTTGCTGTACAAACTCAGAACTGTTGCTTGTTGGGATCTCGGTGGACCACATGGTTCTGTGTTGGCCCACCAGTTTCATCAGAGCTTTTTCCTATTGCCACAGCTGCCGGTTAATGAGTGTTAATGTTTTTGAAACAAAGGCGATCAATAATGAGGTCCGTGGTGAGACGCTCCTTAAACATTTACTAACAGTTTCTGATGGTAATTAACCCTCTGGGAAGAGGACCAAGGCCCAGGGATATGGGTTTCTAAGAGTTCAGAGAATAACACTAATTACAGCCTGAAGTCTCCTGYGAAYACTCACCTCAGTCTCACAGCACCACCAACCTCTGCTTACTGATTAAAAACATTACATGTTGACTAACAGTGAGACAAGTCAACAACTAAAGGTCAGACTCTGACCTCAAGATTAATCAAACATGATGACATACTTTCTAATATATTAATGAAAGGAGCAAATTCAAGTTTAAAACAGCTTTTTAGTTTAACCACTTACGTTATAAATCACACTGTAGTTGTAACCAGATCTTTCTGTCAACATTAGGAATATTTTTTATGTGTTCAAACCACACAGCAGTATAAATTAAACCATATTCTGTGGTTTTAGCAGCAGTTTGAGTCTCTTTCCTGAGACATTATGTCCATTGTGACCAACCCTTCACATAATCCTGAAATAACAATCCTGTGACACCTGAGGGAGTACATGAAGCTGCAGCCAAAACTGTTGTTTTAAAAACATGACAGATTTATTTTCCGTATGTTCAGCAATAATTAAGATGTAAAATTGAAAAAAGAAACAAAGTGGGACAGTATGTGTAAAGAACTGGTCTCTACAGACAGAGATTACCTTCATGTCCAAAGGTCCCTGAACACCACACTCCATTAAATTCTATTAGCTGCTGGTCACTGAGACCCACAGGACCTGTGAGGCCTTCAGGAGTTTTATTGCAGCCAGGAAATAACAAAACTCCAACACAGAAAGTCAAATGAATTTGACTGTGTTYTTGTGTAATTTATGGATATGAACATCACATAAATACACATCATTAAATACGGTATAAGTAAATGTATAAATATGCTTATTATCAACACTGTTAGCAGTATTGGTTAAAATCTGGATCCAGAAGGATGAAGTATAAAAACATTTAATATATATTCTCATGTTACAAATACAGTTTTAGGGGGATTGAGACCATTTTAATTTGATTAATTGACTTATCAGAGCGTTAAAACACTCAAGGAGCACAGTGTGGCTTACCTGGACCCACCCTGAGGCCTGGTCTGAGGGAGGGGGCTTACTGGTGAATGTATGGTGACCAGGACTTCACCCATGTAGGCAGGGGANATGGAGAGTTTTTATTTTTTACAATAAGCAGCTGGAATGAAAACAATCAAAAATGAAATAAAAGTAACGACTTTTTACTTCTTGTCTTTTTTAAAACGTAAGGAGTAGAAAGTAGAGATAACAGAAAATTCTACTKRAGTCCAGTAACAAAGTATTAGTAYTTAGTGACTCTGAAGGATGAGGTTAGTGTTGTGGAGCAGGAGGTCTGACTCCCTGTGTTCTCCTCCCTCCTCCTCCTGCAGGAGATCATCCTGAAGCGAGCGGCCGACCTGACCGAGGCGCTCTACAGCGTGCCCCGCAGCCACAACCAGCTGCCGTCGCTCACCGGCGCCGCCGCTCACTCAGGGATGATGGGCGTGAACTCCTTCAGCAGCCAGCTGGCCGTCAACATCTCCGAGGCCTCGCAGGCCGACCAGGGTGAGGCCCGCCTCCAGGTTCTGTTCGTCTGAGGGAGGGAGTCCTGGGTCGGGTTCAGGAGAAGTCCTCCTCCATCAGCGACGCTCAGAAAAACCTGCAGCCTGTGAACGCACCTCCACAGGAAGCTGCTTTCCCTCCACAAGCCCCGCCCCCCATCTGGTTCTGCCATCGGCCCGACAGCGAACACCTCGCAGGAATCCATGAGGTCATGGGAACCAGAAMCAGAACCTCTGCTTTTACACAGCTACACCACCTCCTTCACTCTGAGCGCCGTCACGATTATCCTCCAGGATTTAACGAGTCCAGGTTCTGAYGCTCGGCCCGGCAGCTGATTTATGAGACCCGTTTCAGCCCGCTCAGCCTTTCAGAACTTCCTGTTCCTGCAGCTGGAGAAGACTGGACCAGCTTCACTTATCAGATATTTACAGTTCTGTCACACTGAGGTGCTCGGTCGGGTCGGGTCGGGCCGGTGCCGGTGCCGCTGACCCGTCCGTCAGCTGATCAGCACCTCTCTGCAGGAGCACGTGTTTCTGGTCGGGCCGTCAGGCAGGAAGTGATCTGGACACGTTTCCCATCAGCAGCTCCTGCTGGGACCGACCCAAACCAGGACCAGAACTCTGGACCGGGCCGGATCGCTGGGAACTCCACAGGGGTCAGAGGTCAGGCAGAGTGATGAGGAGACAGGAAGGTGATGATGTCATCACTGAGGCTCTGAGTGTGGTCCACACTGAAACCAGAAGGAGGCGGGGCTAACAGAGGGAGGACAGACAGGAAGTAAACTGTCAAAATAAAAGCTCTGTTTGCTTTGCTGCTGTCAGACGTTTTGTTTTTACATTCGTGTTAAAAATAGATGAAGAAAAGCAGTTTGATCAGGATCTGTGAGTTCGACGACATTAAAAATAAAAGCTCAGAGATGCTTTTCAAAATAAGAGTCTGGCTCAGGTTAGTGGTTCAGACTGTGGCTGACTCGTCTCTCGTGTTGTCCCCTCAGGTTACTCCCGTAACTCGAGCAGCGTGTCTCCTCGCGGCTACGTGCCGAGCTCCACGCCTCAGCAGTCCAACTACAACACCATCACGTCCACCATGAACGGCTACGGCGCCGCCGGGATGACCAACCTGGGCGTGCCCGGCTCCCCCAGCTTCCTCAACGGCTCCGCCGCCAACTCCGCCTACGCAAGTGAGTGCTCGGAGAAAAGCTTTGTTGTGTGTGAGGAGGAGCCTGCTGAGAGGAACCTGAAAACAACGACAGATTAAAGGAACATTTCAGCCATTTTAAAGGTTTCAGTCTGTTGTAGACGATCGTCTTCATGACAGAAACAAGGTTTAACTGATGCTTTTCACTCAGGCTTTCATTTTCTTTTTGTTTCTTTTAATGAATGAAAATGAAATGAAGAAAAGAAAAACAACAGATATTTAGTTTCACTGATGTTTGAGACCAACGAGCAGCTTGTGTCAAACATGACCTGTTAACATGTTCAGTTTGAATCCCTGTGATCCTGATAAAAACTGTAATAAAATGAAAAAACAACTAAAACTGTACCATCGTTTTACAAAACTAACTAAAACTAAACTGAAATTATCCTTAGTTTTAGTGTTAATTTACTATGAGACATGTGGATCTTTTAGTTTTCAACAAATCAAGTAGTTTGACATCAGCTGTGGTCATCTTACAGCACCTCATGATCTGTAACAACACTTGTTTACAG